TTAGTCTTAATTTTCAAAGATGAAAATTCTCATTCATCATACAATACAACTTGTATGATTCCAAGTTTCTGTCCAATTGAAACTTGGGTGATGAAAAACTTTCTTCATTTGGTAAATTCAGACACTACCACAAATGAAAGAATCAAATCCACTTTCCAATATTGCTATTACTGGAAACATATAAGCAACAATTTTCCACAGATGTCATTGTAAGGATATTTTTAAAATAAATAAAATTAAAACCCTTTTTTTCTTTTATTTTAAAACTTTGCGGAAAAACATATCCTTATAATCCACATGAAAACCTTGTTGTTATCTATTCATAAGCAATATATTATAACTCTTAAGCAACAACTCAAAATTCTGATTGCTGAACCATGCGATCGAAACCCACCTTCGCAATCAGAATCAACATATACTTAATTTAAGCTTCCTATCTTTTCTTTGATTCTTAAAAACATCAACATGTGACCCATTCACATTATGTAATAAGAATCTCCAAATAGGAACTTAATAGAGTTAGTCAGTGGACTTTAACTGAAGTAGAGTCAAACTTTTTGACTTGATCAATCTTATGATCTTTCAGGTAAATATGGCAGCTTCGCAATCAGTGTCCCTCCCTTTGGCAATAAAACATATAGACCCTTTGGTAAAGGCACATGAGACTATCTCAGACTTAGCCTTTCTCTTTACCATTTGGTCAACCGAGTTGACTATGGCCGATCCCTTTCCATTGGGAAGAGAAATGCTTTTCTAAATATCCAATGCTACCATTGCCAATGTCCATTTAAGGTTTGGGAAGTTGATCAAAATTTGCTTTACTAGTGTTCCAAATCATTGCTAAATCTGCAGCACTGAGAAAATAGATAAGATCATTAAGGCTCGTGTCATAGTCTGTCTCATAGTAGTCCCAAAGAGACTCACTATGTTACCAAGAAGGTGATTAAACATCCAACTCTCACAAGACTTTGACACCCAACTCTCCCGGCTTGTCAATACGTGACTTCATCACCAAGATGTGATCACATATAGATCTTGCTTGCCAACATGGCTTGAGTGACTTTAAACTTGTGGGTTTGGGAGAATAAATGGAGGAGGTGGAGGAAGTGAAACATGATGTTGAGGGACACCATCTTCAAGAGATTTAGGAAGATCATAGTTGTCTGAACCAGACATCTATAATGGGAAAAAATCAAGTTAGTTGATTTAAAGTCCTTAATATAACACCCAATATGAAATATTAAGGCTAGGACCCAACACAATATTTTATAATTTGGAAGAGGGATGCCGTAATCCAAGCTATAAAATATTTGAAGGTAGGCGAATGACGATTCACCAATTTCCACCATGAAAAACGAAATAATTTATTAGGTTTTAATTGGATTTGAAATTCCTAGATCTTTTGAGATTCATTGAACTTTTCAATGGCATGTTTCAATCTCTAGTGTGCCCTCTCAAATTTTGTGACTGGGATGCCGAGGATCACAAAACAAGGTGTGAATAACCATACCAATTCACTTGGTACCCTTAATATTATCACCAATCAATGTGTCGGTTAACCACACACGCTCCATTGATCTACGACAAACATTAAGTCACCCTTCGTGATCCTTACTAGTCCAAGTTAGTGTGCCGGTTAACCACACACGCTCCACCAACGACTTGGTAAGGTACAAAGTGTGAATTCCATGGACTAGCACCATGTTCACATTTTTCCTAAAGTAACTAAGATTGGGAATTAAATAAAACATTTAGTTACTTTATAATATTCATCATACTTAATGAGAATTTATAAGTTCTTGTCTTACCGTTCGGCTAACGACCCTCCACCAGTCAAGCAAGCGGTGGGTGAGAGTATACACCCATTAAGTCGCCATTTTATAGGCAACAACCTTATACCCACCTTATAGACCGGCTTCGTGAATTAGGCCTACTAACGGTAAAACGACTTGTTCTTATACATATATATATATATATATATATATATATATATATATATATATATATATATATATATATATAATAATAATAATAATGATAATTAACCATTAATATTATAAATAGTATAAGTGTTGAATTTTAAGTTTTAAAACTCTAAGGGTTTGGAATTAAAGTTTGTGTGAGACTTTACAAATTCCAAAACTTGAGGGAAAGTTTTGAACAATTCATAAACTTTTGGATATTCATAACTTATGAGTTTTAATTAAGTGTTTAAAACTTTTAATGAAGAGTCTCTTGAAAATCCATAACTTGAGGACAAGTTATAAAGTCCATAAAAGCATTTATTAGAAAAACTCTTCAAAAGTGTAACTTGTGACTTCTTAAAAAACATTTAAAAGAAAAAAAAACTTTTGGAATTCCATAACTTGAGGACAAATTATGAATTCCATTAAAACACATTAAGATCAAGAATTAACTAACAAACAATTTGCAAATAATTCCTATGATCTAATAAAACTCATATGAACATGAACATCCACATCAACAATTTCAAGAATCATATGAACACATATAAACTTGAAATTTTGATTATAACTTTGAAATTGGTCCACCATCATCATTACCACATCAAAAACAGGTTTTATGAGTCCAAAACAGTTTAAGGCAATGATTCTAGACCAATTCCAGCACCAAACTCGAAGATATGCTGTCTGGGGGTCCAACTCGTCGAGTGCATGAACCAACTCGCCGATTTGGATGCATTTTGTCTTGGAATCGTCGAGTTCCTTCATGGACTCGGCGAGTCTGCTGTGCAGACAACACATAAACTTCGATTTTCGGCAATTTGCATCAAGTATTCAAGAAAACAAGCCTAGGCTCTGATACCACTGTTGGGTTTTGAGCAATCTAACACTTCCTAAGTGTGCATGCAACCCTAATAAACATTGGATCTATGTTTTCTTCTAAAATACATGCAAATAATAATTTCCAAGGTTTCTTCCTAACTAGCATAGCATAAGGATTATGAATCATAAAACTACTAGTAGAAATACATACCTTTTGATGGTGGTTGATTGCTTGGAGTTTGAGAGCCTAGCACCAATAATGTGAATGCCTCAAATGGAATCACAAATCACCACAAACACTTGGAAAACTTTGAGAGAATAGTATACTTTCTTATGAAATCGGCCACCACTAAGTCTCACACAACTAGAGTGTCATTTCTTGCATCATATGCTTCTTTATATAGTGTGCATGGTTAGGGTGAAACCCTAATAACCCATGTCTTTTCCTTTCCAAGGATCCATGGGTTAAAAGCTTCATGGATCATCCATGGACTTCCATATTAGCTTAGCCCATTAACAAATGAGTATTAGCCCACACTATATAAAATATAATAGCCCATAATTTAATCAGTCTTCTTTTTAATCTCTAAATTAATTCATAATTAATTTAAGACTAAAACTAATTAAATAACATGACTTCATATTAATATATTATAACTTATAATATATTAATAAATCGTAAGTATACAATTCTCATAAAATTATTCATAAATCGTTTGGATGAAATGCAACCCAAATGGATAATGCCGGGTCGCGTCAAGTATGTACCAAATAAGTTATGGACTTAGACACCTTATCCAACAGTAGGTCGGACACCTAAATATGCCTGACAATATGGTTATGATATGTTATTATATGATAGTAGTGGGGGTGAAATAGACCCCATAGCCGGTTGAGATAAACCGGAGGGTAAGTCGGGCACCCAGATATGCCTGGCAGGTGAGGTCGGGCACCCAGATATGCCTGAAAGGGGTAGGTCGGGCACCTCGGTATGCCTGACATGGGTAGGGTGAGCACCTAGGTAAGCTCATCAGGTTAGGTCGGGCACCCAAATATGCCTGATAGTATGTTTATTGTATGGTATGTGGTATGATGGGGGAAACTCACTAAGCTTCATGCTTACAGTTTTTAGTTTTGATTTCAGGTACTTCTTCTTCGAAAGGAAAGGAGTCGTCATGATCACATCACATCACACTACGTTTTCTGCACATGAGATCTTTGGGAGTTTTACTCTAATATTATTTTTCTATGACATGTTTTGATTATCGACATATGGGTTTTCATATGGATGATACTATGGATGTTTTCAGACTATTAGTTTTATAAATACTTAAATAAAAATGAAATTTTTGGTCATGAATTTTGGGATGTTACATTTGTAATGAATGTTTTTTCCATAGATATATCGGTAGCAATATACCAACAAATTTTGAGTCGGTAACAGTTTCTATAGCAATCCCCACGTTAGCTACTGGAAATTAATTCCATAGAAAATATGGTAGCAAATTAGCTATGGAACGCCGTTCTATAGCATGGTCCATTGCAGGATACCAATGAAAATACATTCCATAGAACCATTTCCTAGTAATATCAATTTTTTCTTGTAGTGGATGCGCTGAAAAGCTTCAAGGTTCACTCAAACTCCAAGGACAAGAATATTGGGACCAAAAAGCTCATAAAATGACCTATAACAAGATCTAGAGAAGTAACGAGCAAGGTTGAGACTTTATACTTCCATATGGTCAGAAATGTGATGAAGATGTTGGATCTAAGCTAGAACCAAGCTCACAAACCACAAGATGGATTCCTTCTTCCTTCAATCTTAACAAAGATGGTTTTACACAGTCAAAACACACACATAGAGGCTATGGTTTAAGTGGGGATCAGTTTCATAGGATAGAGACTACCAAATGAGGCAGCCCTAGGAGTTAGTGCCTTTAAATAGGACACAATCCCAAAATCTAGGGTTTTGAACCTTAGCCGCCACTAGATCGTGGCCAAGGCCTTGCCACATCGTGGTGATTCGTAGATGCACGTTTTCTGAACCGAGTTGCTACGTCGTGGTCATTTCATCAGCACATCGTGGCCAAACCAAACTCCCACAAACTTAGATTTAAAGAAATTAAACCCGAAAGAATCATACCTGAAATTGGATGTTACAATATATTATTAAGGTAGTTTTTAGTGTTACTTGAGGTTTTTAGTGATGGAAAAATGACACAGACATGTAATGTATAACAAATCGACATTGGTGCGAGTTGAAATTTTTGAAAGTTATTTTGGTAACTTGGGTAGTAACAAACAAACGGAAAACAAAATAGGAAAACAAAATAGAGGGAAAAAATCAATTTTGCATGGATTTAACATAATAAATAATCAACGGTTAACGGTTAAGTATAGGTTAAGTATAGAGACCGAATCCAAAAAAGAAAAAATTATGTATTTGACCAATGATTGAAATTAAAGTTTTTTTGGACCTCATCTTATCGTTTATAATTTTTTGCAAATCAAAAGGACTAATTTTGACAATATAACCTACTTATTGTGTCGACTTGAATAAATTGCAACAATAATGGAAGGAAATAATTAACGAAAGTAATTGGTTGACAACGTGGAAGTCTTGCTACGCTAGGCCGGTGAATACGACGTCGTTGCAAGGGTTGAAGAATGAATCTTTATCTACCGAGTCATAGAGTTGTATATCTCGTCATTTAAAATTGTTATATTAAAGTTAAATGTAGACGACGCGACGATAGCGCAAGACAAGCTCGCCGGTTAATGGTGGCGCCGTGTGTCTGATACAATAATCATCATCTCCAGATTCCTCTTTTAAATCAGTTTAATCGATTTACAGCTCCAATTTTTGATCACACAATCCGAATCACTAATCCATTGAGGTAAATCTTGTTAGGTTTCGTATGATTTCGCCGTTTCTTTTGAGTTTCAACGGCTATGCATTAATCTATCACGATTCAACTCGTAGGATTAATCGACTATGATAACTTATTCATTCATGGAAACGGATATCCATAATTTCCAGGAATCGATTGTTTTCATCGATGCCCTAATTTCTGGGAATTTCGAATTTCTGTAGCGATCATGTTAATTTCGTCAAATCTACAAAGTTATCTTCCATATGAATGACATAGATGGTTTAATTTCACAGCGCCTGGCGTTTTCATTACGACTTTAAACCATGTTTGGGAATTTCGCTGCCCTAATTCGTGATACTCTAGTTTTACACAACTGTACAGTTTATAAAGTGGATCGTATGATTGTCACCGGTGATTGACGTGTTTGTGGTTTTTGTTCCTTGTGTTTCAGGCAAATGGCTTCTTCATCGGATCCATGGACGAGGGAATATAATGAAGCGTCTAAGCTTGCTGATGATATCACCAGCATGATATCAGAGAGGAATTCCTTTGGGTCAGGCCCAGAAGCACAGCGCCATTCATCTGCTATTCGGAGAAAAATCACCATACTTGGAACCAGACTTGATAGCTTACAGTCTCTTCTCACAAAGCTTCCTGCTAAACAACCCTTGTAAGTAGAACTCATTAACCCAGTTATTAAGTTTTGCTCAATGAAATGAGACATTTCTGAATTTGTTTTGATTTATTGGATTGCAGGACAGAGAAAGAAATGAACAGACGCAGAGATATGCTTGGAAATTTGAGAACAAAGGTAACACAGATGGCCACCACATTGAACATGTCAAACTTTGCTAATAGGGACAGCTTGCTTGGGCCAGATATTAAGCCAGCTGATGCCATGAGCAGAATTGCTGGTTTGGATAACTCTGGTGTTGTTGGGCTTCAAAGACAAATCATGAGAGGCAAGATATTGTGTTCTAAATTCTAATTATTATTTACAACCCTTTTTAATTTTGGAAATTTATTCCCACTTCAAACACTTAAGACATATGTTCTTGAGTTTCTATGGTAATCAATTGGAATCTGTTTATGCAGAACAAGATGAAGGTTTAGAGAAACTGGAAGAGACAGTGATAAGCACCAAACATATTGCTTTAGCTGTCAATGAAGAACTTGACCTTCACACTAGACTCATTGTATGCCCTTCTTTCTTTTTTTTACTTAGTATTTGGTATTCAATTGAGCCTCTGAAAGTGATCTATTTATGTTACACAGGATGATCTGGATGAACATGTAGAAGTTACTGATTCTCGACTCAAGGTAAACTCTTTTATGTAAAAGAATGTATAAAAAGCTTTTAATACTTTAAAATCTTTTTACAATTTATATTTGGGAAAAAAAACAGAGAGTGCAGAAGAATTTGGCGATTCTGAATAAACGAACAAAGGGTGGTTGCTCATGCTTGTGCCTACTGTTGTCAGTGATTGGAATTGCTGTCTTGGTTGTGGCTCTTTATATGATCATAAAATACTTGTGATCTCATTTGCCAACTGTATGTAGCTTTCTTTTGTGTGAGGTGATTCGAGTGCTTTTTGTTTGTGTGATAATATTTCTTTCTATTTTTTTTTCTTGTTTAAATTAAACAAAGTATATGTCGGTTTCTTGAAAGTTTGTTGTCTACAGATGTTTGTGCTATGCTACCGAAGAACAAAGTTCGAGTTGCTAAATGTTTGCTTGTTGCACCATATATTGATTTAATGTGATATTTAAAATGTTTGCTTGTTGCTAAATGACCATTTTATCCCTATTCCAACCGAATATATTTATCAATTATAAAGTGAGGAGTTTGGAAGGAAAAGGGAGTAAAAACAAGTAGATAAAGGGTTGGTGTCTTGATACATTAAGTCTAATACATTAAGTCTCATAAAGTCATTAGGTCCAGAGTAAGTGGAAAGGAAATAACCATGTATACCCTTTCAGATTAACTGCTTAATCCATTAAGCACATCAAGTAAAAAAGAAACAACCTCTTAGTTAGAGAGCAAATTGTGGAGAATGCCAATTTAGTTTGATCTTGCTTCAAATGTATGTTACGTATAATTGCAAAATACATTATCTTTTACCTATAAAGGCAACATATTTATATTTTGCTATTAATTTGGGCATTGTATTTTATTGATTACTTATTGCTATTGTTGGTAAAAAAAAATATAAGTATGCTGCTATTTTGAGTAAAAAATTGTAATGGAAGTTATTATTGTGTGTAAAGAAAATGTAAGTACATTGTTATTATGAGTTATTCTTGTGTAAAGAAAATATAAGTACATTGCATACACTAGTAAAACAGGCGAAGCACTTTGTTCTTTTTTTTTTTGTTTTTTTTTTGTCTTGTTTTTTTGTTTTGTTTTTTTGTTTTGTTTTTTTTTTAATTTTTTGTTTTTTGTTTTTTTCAAATTTGTCATTTTGTTGGAACACAAAATATCAAAATATGATAACCATGAGAATCATAATATACACAAAAGTGATTAAGTGAATAAAGTTTGTATGCTCTTTTTGGTACGCAAACTTGAAAAAGTGCAAAGTTTGTATGTCATTTTCGGTTTATAAACTTGAAAAGTGAATGACTTAAAGAACAATTGTGTTGGTGATTTTAGATTATAGGTAATTAATATGTACACAATGTTGAATAGAATTTTAAGCTTTGAACATAATTTAAATAAGATGTGGAGTGAATACTTATGTGGATAAGCTTGATCATTGATGATTGATAAATATCGGGGGTTAAGAGACAACGTCCCATGCATGATCTAGGGGTTTTCTCCCTAGGACGGTCTCACTAAATGGATCTTAGGGTTGCAAGTGGAATTGTAGAAGGTGGAAAACATGTTCCAACACTGAAAATGACATGTAACTAGTAATATCCCTGCGATGAGAATCTAGTGGTTGAGGTGCAAAATTTCATAATGAAGATCCAATATTCAAAACTTGGCATGACCAAAACATTGACAATGCTTTGTGATTTACGGTAAAATAATGGATCTTCAGACATCTGTGATTTACCCTAACATAATGGATCTCGAGACAGTTTCGACGTAAGGCAGTCAGACAGACTGTAACTGTGTAAACCACCCAAAAATTGTTTTTAACCACTATTTGTGTTGTTTATCAATTTTGGGTGTACCATTTTTCAGACTCTTTAATCACTTACAAACAAGTTTAGTCCCATGACTTTCTTTTTTCCTCGAACAATATTTAGATGTCCAAGGTTTTTATTATAACATTGGACCTCTTTTATACAACCCAAAAGTTTACAACAAGTTGTTTGCTTAAGCAATCTATGCTGATCTCCTTGTAGTAACTAATTATCTTCCTTTTTTTGCAATTAAGTTAATAAAAAATGAAACTTGTTAACAAGGGTAAATGTAACTATGTTCTTGTCATTCAAGAATGACTAACTATTGTTTTTTCCATTCAAGTATAACTAGCCTTTTCTTTTTCATCTTAATGCAACATATTCATACTAAATTAAGTGTAAAAAATTGTTTATTCGACTAAAATGAAGAAAAACGAGACATTAGAAACATAAACTTTATTTAAAATGATGAATTATAAGGAAGAAAGAAAAATGCATACATAAAAATTTCAACAGTTGTGAATATTTTCCATATTCACCAACTTTCTATATCCATAGGACCCCTCATTCTCCTTCACTCAAAATTGGAACAATGAGAGGATTCATTTGTGCAAGATAAACAATTGCCCACCTGCAATAACCCACAAAACATATATATTCATGTTCCAAATTCAACATGTCATAAGTTTTGGTATGAAGGTTCAGTTAATTATCAAGAAAACAAACTTACATCATCCAACAACACACAGTTGCAGTAATCACCAATGTAAGGTGGAATCTGCACATTAAATATTCATATTCAAGGCATGAACATCATAAGTTACTAAGATACAATCAAATTTTAGTGACCTAATTTAGTCAATGCTGCAATTTTCAATAAGCATGAAGCCTAAAAGGAAAATTTCACATTAGTGTGTGCGTAGATATGGCGACAAAAGCAAAGATTGAGAAGTAAAATGGAAGGAAGCATACAGGTTAGCGGAAGGGCCTTTGTTGCAGCAAATTCGAGCGCAAAGGCAAGCAATGATTCCGATAGCTACAAAACTCAGAGTTGTAAGGATAAACCCCATCGCATGCGATTGATCTTGCAATTTCAAATTAAATAAATATCAAGTCCAAATCGAAATCTATATTCCTAAGGATCTAACTGAATTAGAACAAGAAAATGTACGAACAATTATGTGTGTATAGTGATTCTCGGAAACTTATAACAAACTCGATCTCCGGTGACCGGCGAATGGCGATCGTTCGAGGTAGAGGCTCGTCGATCCGGCCTGAGAAAAGAATTTAACCCGATCCACTCATTTCCAAAATTCAACAGCGTAATGGGATATCAGAAAGAAATGTTGTAAATTTAAGGGTGGTTTTGCAAAAGCGATGAAGTTAGAGGTCTCTTAGTTAAATGTAGAGGTGGGTTCTTAAAAAAAAAAACAAAAAAAAAAAAAGTCTTCCACCGTTTTCAATCCATCTTCATTTTTTCCCTATAAATGGAGTAAAGAGTGTTTCATCTTCAACCGTATTCCATTTTCTACTTTATTTTTTACCCCAAAAAATATATTCTTGGAATATTCCATTTTTATAACTTATATATATATTGTCAAATACACACTCTACTAATTAAACTCTGTATTTATGATTAATTAATATATAACATTATATTATAAATATTGAATATTGTATTTAAATTATTATTAGTAAATAAAATAAACTAGAAATCTATAAAATAAAAATAAGAGGGATTAAAATTGACAACCAAACTTCACCTCCATTTTTGGAGATATGAATAGTATTCCCCCATATATGGGGAAATACTATTCATATCTTCAAAAATGGAGGTGAAAATGAGGTAGGGTTAGAGAAGAACGAGTGAAGAAATAGGGAAAGAAATGGAGTTTGAGAGTGGGTTGGAGATGCCCTTAGAAGATATATGTGAACATCAAACCCAACATGAGGCCGGGAGGTGGAATCTGATGTGTAGCTCGGCAAAGAAAAAGAATATCATCCCTTCAATTCAGCATGTTGAGGTTTTGTGTAGAGATCTCTTGTGGTTTTCACGTTGGTAATTTTCCTTTCTTTTACTCAATATATCATCAAACTTTTTTACTCAATATACCATCGAGCTTGTTGTTTATGTTCACCATAACCCTTTTGACCGGCTTTTGACCTGTGTGATAGCCGGTCAAATGGTTATGATGAACACAAACAGCAAGTTCGATGGTATTGAGTACAAAAGAAAAAAAATGAAAAGAACAAATGAGAACAAACTAAACAATTGATTACTCTCCTGAGTCATTTTCCCCAAAAAGTTAAATGAAATTAAAGTTGCAAAATTATCAAAAACTGCAACCTTCTTTAGCCATAACGTACATGAAGAGCGTTTTGGAGGGGTAGCTTCATTAAAACATTGTTTATGCTATGCTTACTGTGTTTAACTATCAACACCTCTCTGTAAAAGGATATGAATGTGTATGAGAGGTATATTTATCAACATAAACGTTTACTTCAAGGTATATTATGGTGATGTGTCTGCAAAAGCTGCATGTTATTATACATATTGATGTTGTATCTTATCCCATAAATTCGATCATAAAGCCAAGTAAACTCAAAAATCACAACACTTGTGATTCCACTCGTTTGTAGACTTGTCTAGAATCCAGGATACGATAAATCATTTGATTGGAAATGTAAATGTAGTCATGAATGCACCTGCTTAGTCAAGATTTCCTTAATAAATATTCAAGTGCATTACAAAGGTGTACATGTATGAATAATGTTCTTTCGTGGTTTTTGTTTTGAAGAGAAGCAAGAATGAATCTTATAAAGTCATTAATATGAGCAGGAGATGACATGGGATTTGCTGTAAATGAGTAAAGGGAAAATGATTGTAACGTTCTGGGGCGGAGGACGGCATGTACAATATCATAACAATGCATAATAGTAAAACAAGCAACAACATCATCCATTGCATTAATAATATAATGTAATACAAATGTGTTCTGGGTATAGTTTTAAGACACCAAAAATATGTAATCAAAATAAAGATGAGTCTTGAGTATGCTCCGCCTTCTTAAAAACCTGGTCATCGGTACCTGTCTACTATCGACTTGAGAATACAAGTTATTTTGAAAGCGTAGATCAGCAATTAAGCTGGTGAATTCATACGTATTTTAGTATCAAAGTTTGTATAAGTTTGATGAAAATGTTTGTGAATGTTTGATGTAAATGTTTGTATACTTCCTAGAAAATCCTATATTTTCTACTAAATTGGAAAGTAGTCTTCTACCAAGACCCGACTGTTTTGTATGTTTGTTTCTCTTAAAGATGATGTAATGTAGTCTACTACCAAGACCCGACTGTTTTGTATGTTTGTTCGTTTGTTTTTTTCCCAAGTTTATGACTATCTTTACTAAAAAATAGTTTGCATTATCCTTTATGTGAGAATATCACTATATGAATGTAATGGGAAAATGAAAGTATGCAGTAATATTGTATAAAAATAAAATACCTACTGAAACACTAACTACCTTAAAAACAAGTTTGTTAATTAAGGTTAAGATGTGATGTGGTAGCAACCATGCTAATTGACAAGTAGTTAACCCGACGACCTGTTGGTGCCGAAAGTAATGTGACATTTTTCACCCCTTGGCATGTATGTCGGACTGTAGCTAACAGTTGGGATGTAGGATTGTCAGTCCCGTATAGATCTATACACACAATGCCCGTTCTCCCTCAAGTAGACTCTGGTTACCAAACTTGACCTAACAAGTATATTGCTAAGCCGTGAAGTAGTCTCACATTAATGTTATCTTGTTCTTGTTATTGTGTGTTCCTTTCTGTTCTTGTTATTGTATGTTTGAACAAACTCATGTATGAACTGATTTATGTAAGTACTGATGTTTTAGAAATAGTAATTAGTAATCCTCTAAACTATACCTATTATAGTTTACTAGTAAGCTTTGTAATTGATTGACTGACTATGTATGAATACTTTTGCTACCTAGTGGTATTGAACTGATTGATAGGACTTTTATATCTACATAGATATACATAATATATAAGTAAGATTTAAACGACATTCGGACAAACAACCGATACCCTAAGTCTACATCTAAACAAGGAAAAGGAAATAAAGCGAGTTGTTAGTCCTAAGCCCTTTAAACATTATTTATATAACTATATCTATATAGACATGCTTTTGACAATATATATAAGTTTAAAAAGGAGTTTTGTGAAACATGTAAAGAGTTTAACTATTAGAATAAATATTGATGACTTGATGTCGTTTTATAAATTGGTTTGAAACAGTTTGTTTGATAATACAGTTTGAAGTATAAGAAATCCTTTGTTTTGTAGTTATAAATCACATGTGATTGATTACATAACTATAATGTTTTCTACTTGTATTCCCCCCCCCCATAAAATCATTTAAAACTAATAAAAGGTAAGTTAAGGGGTATGAACTCACCTGTAGTGAGTTATTCGAATGTAGGATCGATATAAGATGCAAGTGTCAAGTGAAGCCTCGAGCACGAACGGATCCTATTAAGTATATAATGGCACATATATGTATATAATTAGTGTATATAACAACTAATCATGATAGGGAACCACCTTAGGGACTAGGAAATACTTGGATTGAAGTGTTACAGTCACATGTGATTGTACTAAAGAGGTCTACGGCCACACAAGTATGTTTACGACCAAAGAGGTTTACGGCCAAGGAAGTTTACGATCAAAGATGTTCAAGGCCACTGATGTTGTTCATAGGGGTTTATGGCCACGGGAGATGCTATGGCCGTAAACTCTTATTGTTGTTGAGGAATGGTTGTTTTCAAGGGTGTATGTCAAGAGCTTCTAAAGGATAACTAGTGTATGGAAGGATACTTACGTTTTGAAGCTTGAAAAAGGTGTTCACGACCCAAAGAACTAGTAGGTGTTCTTGGTGTAAGTGATGAAGATTTGAAGATCTATCCAAAATAGATAATTTCATGGATGAAATCATAGAGTTTCACTAGATTAAGCAAGGTATCAACTAACAAATAGAAGAATCACTTACACTTTTAAAGATCAAGATGAAAATTATTGATGATACTTGAGAGAGAAACGAGTTTCTTGAGTTGGAATTGTGAGAAATGGTGAAAAATGAAGGAATATCATGTATTTGGGAGGAGTTCATGGCCAGTGTAACGACGTAATTTTTAAACCAATTTTTTTTTTCATTTTTACAAACATCAAACATCGAGTAATAATTGAAGTTCCAATGTAAATAATATTGTCACGACCGCTTACATAGCAAAGATCACAAAATAGTTTTCCCCGAGTGTGTGTACGATCACGCTGGCGCCTTCCCACGGTCCTCGCTAGTACCTGAAACACATAACACAACAACTGTAAGCATAAATGCTTAGTGAGTTCCCCAAAATACAACCTACGCACATACGCCTTTCCAGGCCCTGACCTTCCGGTCCATGTGTCTCAGGGGACTTTCGTCCCGACTGGGTAAACCTTACGGTCCATTTTACAACGCCTTCCGGCCCATAACATATTCGCCTTCCGGCCCATAATATAATGCCTTCCGGCCCATATCAAGCATATCATACATAGCACATATAACGATTAACTTATCACACATAATGTATATAACTCATATCATGTTCGACCTTCCGGTCACACAGTTAAACCCTTTCGGGTACTGTATAGTGAGAAGACTCACCTCGTATGTCTCGATAACTCGTGAACCCTGGAAATCACTCGTGCTCGAACCCCCGAGCTGTAATCCTCCTATGACATCATATATCTATAATTATTACTTGTACCACTAAGGTTGACCATCCTTATCAAGTCAACACTGGTCAACTTGGTCAACAGTCTTTGGTCAAATTGACCGGACTCGGCGAGCGCACTAGAGTGACTCGGCGAGTCTACGCGTTTTCACCAACTCGCAAGGATTTTCCCTTTGACACGTCGAGTACTCCCCTGACTCGACGAGTTCCACCTGGGCATGAATCACGGGGCCACCGCGACTCAACTCGCCGAGTCGCAAGGACAACTCGGCGAGTCCCAACTCGACTCGGTCCACCTGTCAAATACCTTTCTAACTCTCTGTGACTCACTGAGTCACCCACAACTCGGCAGGACTACACACTGGGTGGTTTTAAGGACAATCTTCAAGCTACTCGTCGAGTCTGTTCTTCAGACTCGGCGAGTCCATGCCATGCATCAGCTAAAACTTGCTTTTGCGGTCAGATCCGTTCCATACACACATAGATCTGGCCTTCCCAAGCTCATTTATCACGTAAAGTCTCAGTCTTGGCCGCCATGCAACACATACAAGGCTCTTTTTGGGGAAATAACCTCTAATATGGCAACCCTAGCTTCCAACTCAAAAGAATGGACATAAAGCATATCATTTGGGGCCTTCTGGACCTGCTAAGGTCCAGATCTAGGTTCCATATCTCCATGGGACCTTTCATACTTCAAATCCAAGCCAAATAAGGCAAGAAGAAACCCTAGATTTGACACATCAACCAAAACACGAAGTTTAGCTCTGAAAGTTACCTCAAGAAGGTTCCCTTGATGAAATAGAAGCAGATCCAAGCTCCCCAACTCTTCAAGCTTGATCTTCTCCTTCCTTTCTTGCAATAACACACAAATTGATGAACAAATAGCCTCTTATCTCACTCACAAGGTCTCTCAGCCGCTTGGGTGCACTCAAGGCTCAAGGTGGCCGCAATGAAGGGCCATAAGGTCCTTTAAATAGGGCTTAGGACCGGGAAATTAGGGTTTCATTAAACAGCGCGGACTCGCCGAGTCCATCCCTTGGACTCGCCGAGTCCAGACGCGAACCTCCGTCCAAAACCGCGACCCGACTCGGCGAGTTCGACCTCCAACTCGCCGAGTCCCCTCACAAAATACCAAAAATATGAAAGTAAAGATACCTGGAGATCCGGGCTGTTACAATTCTCCCCCACTAGAACAAGACTTCGCCCTCGAAGTCCCGCTATGCAAATAGCTCCGGATGCTGCTCACGCATCTCACGCTCCGGCTCCCAGGTCATCTCTGATCCCTTCCGATGCTGCCACTGAACCAATACCAGGGGTACCTCCTTGTTCCTCAAAACCTTGATCTTCCGATCTCTGATGGCTACTGGTCTCTCAGCATAATTCAGGCTCGCATCCACCTGAATATCCCCTAATGGAACCACTGCCGATTCGTCGGCTATACACTTCCTCAACTGCGACACATGGAAAGTGTCGTGAATCTGCCCCAACTCTGCTGGCAAGTCTAAACGGTAGGCTACCCGGCCCACCCTCGCGATCACACGGAAAGGACCAATATATCGGGGCCCCAACTTGCCCCTCTTCCTGAA